ATGCCATATATAATTTACATCAATCAAAACATCAGATAAAAGATGTCTGATAAGAAAGGTAATGTGACCTCACAGTGCTCTCTAATTCAAAGGTCAACCAGAAAACTTCCTTTTGCATCATTAGCAGTACGAATTTTCAGCAGCGAAAAGAATATTGATAGAACTAAAATGAATAGTTTAGCTCATCTAAGACTCTTTGCAATGAAGAGGAACGACGCTATTTCTGCCAAAGTCAGCTCATAAGCATACTGTTCAGCATTTGGCAAAAAAATGCGCTTCACCTCTACAAGCACCATCTAATGAAATGAAACAGAACTGAAATGCTAAGCTCAGCTACTGAGTAAAAGTTATCGACCTGTTATTAAATTTTATCAGAAAATATTGAGCAGATAAAAACATTCAAGAACATCAGTTCTAAAATTTGTTATTCTTGATGCTCGTTATCTGAGTGACAAGGTGCCCGGATGTTAAGCAATACATTCATTTTATATATTTTGTTTTATATATTTTAGAATATCATAGATTGTGGGACCGAGAAGGCAAAGAGAACAACGATGAAATTCCGTAAGCATGTTGTGTAAACTGTTAAAGTTAGACCTATATATTCTTGTTTCTTCTAGTAAAATGAGTTAACTAGCAAATATTTCGGATCTCGTCACTCTTAATTTGAATTGATTTTAACGAAGTGCTATCTGATTAACTTACCATCTCCCCCTTTCTCACCCACCCAAGCATTCCTCCTTCATCTTTGGATGGGCATATTGAGTATTCTACCGCGAGATCACTCAAGTCTTCACCTGAAGTTGTACAGATATAGTAGCAAAGAACTACAAAGTTAAACAGCAGAAAAATTTCTTCCAAAGTGTATCTTTCAAATTTATAACCTATACATTCACTGAACAAAAAGTTCGCTAATTTGTTTTGTATAAACAACCATCTGTCAGATTTTAACACACTCAATCGGGAACGTTAAATAGTTTGATAGAATTATGATTTCCACAGACGTGGCAAAATAAATCCTTACCTGATGAGATTCTCTGCTGAAGATCCAATAGCAGCTTCTGGTCATCTTCATTGACAAGCAAATGTTGCACCAGGATCTCCCTAGCACCATCACCATTGTTGCTGCTGCTGCTGCTGCTGCACAAGGCTGACAGAGTGTACATTTGGAAATTCATCATTGGAAAGTATGAATACCATGTAAGCCTTGTCCCAAGATATGTCCCAGAGCGTTTTAAATATATGTAGGTGAAATACAGTTTTACTTCTTTTCTGTTGTATCAAAAAAAAAAAAAAAAGAATAAAGTTTTAGTGGCAGCCAATTACGGCCGCCATCAACGGCCAACAGAGTTTATCCGACTCCATGAAAATATGAAAGAGTAACTGTAAACACTTCACATTCACGCTCTGCATGCCCTCTCGCAGCATATGATTAATTATCAGTTCAAAAATTGTATCACCGTAATGACGATAACAATTTCTCAGAAAACAAAATAGCTTCATTTTTCATGCTGTTCATAAAAAAGTACACCCCAAAATTATACGCTTAGAATCAGATTGAAAAAGTCCCAACAAGCAGAAAATGGATTGGGGGGAAAGATTAAACCAATATGCAAATCCCACCAATAATCAGAAACGAAATCATGAAGTAATTCCAGAGAATTCGAAGGATTGGTACCTGCTACTTGGGGGCGTGACAACCCCGCTGGAGGAAGTAGTTGGTAGAAATTGAAGGAAGAAAGAGGGTGCAAAGGAATTTGAAATCTATGAGAGGAAACCTTGAGAGATGGGGAACAAGTGAAGGCGCGAAGATTGGAAGAAGAAGAGCAGGAGAGAGCGGGAATCAGAGATAGCCTCAAAGCACTGAGAGCTGGAGACGCTTTCATTGGAAAATGTGAAGCTCTTAGCATGGTTGCACAGAGTGAATCAAAATCGCGTAATGGAGGCACGATGCACAGCACCGTCGTTTGACAGCGTTTAACAGTTTGGGAGAATGACAATCAGGGGTCAGAAATTTAATTGCTCGTGAAAAGTAAATGATTACTTGCAATTAAACTTTTGATAATTAAACCTCCTCTTCTTTCAAGAAATCTTCATAATTCTCCTTCTACAGTTTCACTGATATTTCAAATCAACTGTGGGGTGTTTGGAGAACCCCAAAATCACTTTGTATTTTTTCTGAAATAAATTATTTCACATATTTATTGTATATATTATAAAAGTATTTTTAAAATTATAGTTTTGTTTTTATCCAAATATCCTTACAATGAAATTAAAGTTAAATTAGTGGAATAAAACTCTTTTCTGTATTTAATGACAATATTTCTGATCAAACAATATACTTTTTTATTCTATTTATAGGACATTTTTAACATATTTTATATAGATAAAAAAATTTAAACTGTATTAACTCTTTTTTAAAATATAACAAATATTCAATTTTACCCTTATTTAATATATATACTTTTAAAAAAATTAATTATCTACATTATAATAAATAAAAGACAAAAGAATATATTCATATTAAAATATTAATGAAATGACTCATAAATAAAACTGAAGTAAATCTTTTCTCTCTAATTTATAAATAGGACCAGAAAAATATATCAACAATTAATTAAATTTTATGACAAATTTAGTATTTTTAGTTGTTTTTATTAATATGTTGGAATTAATTAGAAGGTTTTTTTGTCAATCGAAAATCACAAAATTATTAATTTTTAAATATATTTCTTTGAATTTATATATAGATATACATTAAAAAAAACAAAAACATCGAAAAGTTGAGTTGTTGAATTTTAATGTACCGTAACCGCTAACCACCTAAGAATTTTGACACTCGTATATGGCAGATTATAACATGTTTATTAAGCAAATGAACTCTTACCCTTAAAAAAAAACTCCTGTTCTAGAAATTGTTTAAATTGAGTCTCATTGGAAGAAGTATATGGATTTATTATCAACTAAAATTATTGTATATGAAAATAGTTCATACAAGTGTGTGAGCTTATCGATTTATATAACACTGCATTGAGCTATGAGACTTAGTGCCCGTTTGGATGAGCAATTGGAAAAGCTGCTTATTGGAAAAGCAGCTTATGGATAAGTGAAGTGGGATATAAGCTAAATTGGATAAGCTGAATTGTGTTTGGATTGGAGTTCAGAAAAACCCGTTTGCAAAAGTGAGATTGGTAAAAAGCTGTTTGGATTATGGTTGAGTAAAAGTAAGTTTGGTTGTAAAATAATCAAAATGGGTATGAGTTTTAATAAATAGTAAAAAATAGGAAAAAAATAATTTCACATAATACAATGGAATTAAAATATAATACGAATAAGTGAATTAAATTTTTAAAATTTAGAGAAATCTAAAAAATTATTTTAAATATAAAGTGAAAGAAGGAAAAAATTGAATAGAGATAATATAATGATGAAGTAGAATTTATAAACGTATAAGAGTAATCAATAATTTTTTCCTAAAATATCCTTCACCCTTGAGAATCCAATTAATAAGAAGATAATGGATAATAATTGAAGGCAAAAATAAAAAGAGAATACTTAGGTCAAATTACTTGAATTGGTTAAAAATGTTTTATTGATGTGTGAATTAAAAGAAAACTTATCATAAACTAATAAGAAGTGCACCATTTGACAACATTAATTGATATCGAATGTAATTTGGGACTCAGATTTCTTTTGGAAGAATATGGCTCATTCCTCCTGTCTCCTACAACACGCGTTTACAGCGAGCAATTACAATCTATGCCAGGTTTAGCCCAAAACTCAGATCTAAAAATCAACAAACGTCAAGCATTCATCACAAAAATTCACTGATCGCTGAAACACAGCACAAAACCAGGCCAAGAAGAAAACATTCAGACAGGCTCATGCTCGATTTCAGTCTATCTATCAGCTCACAACAGATCAACAAACAAACAACTCTACATGCTTTGATTAATAGTATCAACACAAATCAGCCAACCTCACACAAATCAAACCAATCGACCAATCGGCCAACCTCACACAAATCAGAGCAATCCGACAGGGTGGACTCGCGTGATGAACGACCAGCCTCTCGGTCACTCAAAGCCAAAGCCAACTTGCTTCCTGTCACCGAGGGGACGCGACGGAGCTGACGGCAACCAAGTCTCGGTGGTTCTGGCTACGACGCGACGGAGGATGAGGGGAGGCAGCTCGCGTGAAGGACTCTCGGTCACTCGAAGCCACACCCAGACCTCACGGAGGAGACGCGACAGACCTCACGGCAACTCTCGGTGGCTCCGACGACGACGGGACGGAGGAGGCAGGATGAGGGCTTGGGGTCGGGCAGAAGGGAGAGTAGACGCGAAGAAGAAAAGAAAAGAAGACTTAGGAAGGAAAACGAAGACTGGCCGACAGGAAGAGCTCAACGGTAAAAAAATAAGAGCTTATCTGATTCAATAAGCCACAAAAATCAGCTTGGGCCAGATCGTGCGTTCAGTGGCTTAAATTCCATAAGCTACTTTTTTTTCCAAGCCCAACCAAACAGGAGCTTAACACCAATCGGGCTTATGCTGATTTTAAGCTACTTATAAGCTCCTTAGAAGCCCAGCCAAACAGACCCTTAACTCATAAGTAATAAGCCCTTAAGACTCAACTTTGAAAAAAAGAAAATGCATTAAAATTCTGAGAGAAATCGACCAATCTGCTTAACCCGGCCACGACAGTTATAATTATAAAGTTTTCCTTTTACTGTGAATTTTATGCGAAACTAGATTTAAAAAAATTTGTCAAACAATTAATTCTAGTAAATTTCTCCCGCTTTTTTTAAGTGAAAATTTCTTCCCATTTTTAATATAGGTCACTTCTATCTTATGTCCTTAACGGAACATGAAAAAGTAGTGAAATAAATCAAATGGTTTTTTTTTTTGGGTCAAAAAATTCATTCAAATTGTTTGTAAATGAAATAGATTTCTAAGTTTCATTTAAAAGCATAAATTTCCAAAAAATAATTAAGACTCCACTTTTTAATCTACTACAAGAATAATTATATTGTAAACTACTAAAAAATTAATTGTGCCGGCGCAAAAAATTGGCCATCACTACCACAATTTCCCTTTCTTCTTCTGGGAACAAAACATTAGATCATCTTATACAGAGAACCCTATGACAAAAATATTAAGCGCAGATAAAGTATGAAAGCCAAAGAATCAGATCTCAGCATCTCAACCAACACCCTCTTTACTGTGAATCAACTCTATCAATTTACTGAGCAAGTTAAGAGAATCCTAATCCCTTTTGCTGATTCACACAAAACTGATCTAGGACTTTCTCTAACCATGTTCCACCTCATTTTGATTTTCAGTGAAGTTAGATTAAACAAAGCCTTCTCTCTCTCTGCATGGGCCAGCCTTTTCCAAGGGAAAAAAAAAAAAAATCCCCGAAACCATTTTAGGTGAAACCTAACAGGGCTTCAATCCCCTTTTTTCCTTTTTGGGGCAATAATCCCATATTTATTTCCCTTCACAGAACATGCAAACAGAAATATAATGAACTAAAAACTATAAGAATAACTATTTTCCCTTTTCCGCCTCAAATGACCACTACAGAAAAGCAGAGCTGAATCAATTTGATTCTTGTACCATGCTTAGCTCTAGGTGGAATCTGATTCGGTGGGAGAAGAGGAACCATTGGGAGGGATCCAAGCATAAATCAGCAAGCCCAGGACCAGAATGACAGCACCTGCAATGAAGCCTGCTGGGAGAGAGGAGGCAACGCCAACGTATGGCAATGGCAGAGTGAAGATGTAGATAGATATCGGAACTGCCACACACAATAAAGTTCCATCAGTTAGGTCTTCTTCATGAACGCTTTCATAGCAGGGTAAAAAAAAAAGTGAAACCTATGGCCAATTCAAATTAAGACTCATGAATAGTTGCTATATATGCAATTTCTGTAGTTGCTATCAAGATTGGATGAGATAGGTTGGGGTGTAAAAATATCTGGGGGCAAGACTCTGGCTCAGTGGCTCCCACGTCACTCTTAGTGGGTGCGTCTGTAATCAGTATACATACACACACACACACATCCTTATATAGCATATCCACCAATATCTTATACTTTATAGTAATCTTTAACATGCCTTTTTTCTCAAGATGTGTGACAAGAATCAAACTCTCGACTATTCAGATACGGGGGATCTAATACCATGTCAAAAGTCACTTTAACTTGAAACCTTAAATTTAGTGAAATCTCATGAATACGTTCATTATGTTCTATTAATGATTTCAACTATTGCCACATATCCGGAGGGCAAATTAGATGGTCGAGATCACAAAGGTATTCTAGCCAAAGAAAGTGGAAACAGAATATCATTAAGAAAGGACGGCAAGAGAAATTCCTTGCACCTATTAAAAAGTCTTTTCATGCATCTATAAATCCTGCCAAACAGTCTATCCACTTTTCATTTATTCATAATTTTTCCTTAAAGTACTCTAGATAACCTCCGATAAAGAACAAAGAATAGTTCCCAATCAGCCTAACAACTTGCCCATATTATCATTAGACCCTTGTAAATTTACAGTGAAAAGCTTTTTCCCTTTGGGATATACCTATACCAATTAGTTTTCGAAAGTTTAACTAAATCTTGACTGATCCAGGTTATATCAGGTCAAAACACATTGGTATAAAGCTCTCCTGCGGCAATTTTCTCCATTCGCAAGACTTAAACCAAGAACTTGCTCGAGGAAGTGTCAGACAACCTGAAACAACTGCTATTGGTATTTACAATGAAAGTTTTGGTGGAGAAATTTGCGGTCTATCAATTCAAGAGCTAGGAAAATAGATCACCAACTAGGGACATATATTCTCAATCAGTTTGCCATACAATATTCGATTATTCTAACATTCCAGAGGGTCATATACCAGGAAATAGGTTACTACTTCCATATGACTGGATCAAGCGCTGCAATTTTATATTAAAAAAACTGAAAGATCTAGTGAATATTAATTTAACTAAATCATGGATCTTACAAAAGAGTCATGATACAGGAGGATTAGCAATTTTTATTTTGGGAACAAGTTACTGGATTCAGAAAAGCATCATCATTCAAATTCTCTGGTTATATCTAACTCATAGAAGACAAGAAGACTGGCTTATATAGACTAACTTGGTATCCATACTCTAAACAGACTCAGTACAACGCTCCAAGCAACCAATCAAAAGATTGTTGCAAAATGTATTATTAGCTTTAAGAGATGTAGACTAATCATTGTTAATCATTTAATTAGGTCGGACCCTTTCACTAGATTACCAGGCCAGTTGGAGTAAGGCATTTTGAGTCAGTGAGGTTAAATTGAACTGAATCAGATTAAGTTTCATCATATCATTTAAGTCATCTTAAAAACAAAACCCACCTGCCATCAAATTTTACCAACTTTGTTTATAATTCCAAGCAGCTAGGTAAACAAAAAGTATAAAAAGCTTCTCTTTTGTAGTTTGTTTAGGCTGCCACTGCAGGAGCATAATACGGTCTTCTATTTCCTCAGAATTCCCACGCAAAAGAATTCATTCACGTAGCGTGAGGAACAGAATTTCAATATGAATACTCAAACCGCCGATTATCCAAATGTAGAAAATATTTATTACTACTTACTCTTTTAGCTTAAGCATCTTCAACAAAAGGGGAAAAAACAAAACTATTACAATATATCACGTGCAAATCATGATTCAATTTATGGTTAGTGATATCATTTTCAGCCACATAGTCTGTCTCATTGATCATATAAACAACCTTACTGGCCATAATCGCATAGAATCCTAACGATGTATTTTTGTAAAAATTTTCAGGTTATATGCTTTTATATTCCTTAATGAGTTGCCTTTTACTGCCACACAAGAATCCAATGTGACTCTTCCTCCACATCCTTAAAACCCAAAATAGCACTTCTTGCCAACAAAAATCTCCAGAGAAAAGCATATTGCCATTACCTCGTAGAACTATTCTTTCCTCTTTTAATCTTTGTTTTAAGGGGGGAAAAGCATATCAGCAGCCAATATCCTTACCACCAGCCACCCATTCCCATAGGTTAATCATCAATACTCCAAATTCATTAAAACAAAATATTCACCAAACACCAATTATAGATCTCAAAAAAAAAAAACAAAACAAAAAAAACAAAAACAAAAACAAAAATCAGGCCACCAATCTAAGCAGGTCTCGTTATTAAATTCTTCATAAGTATACCTCACTGAAATAAATCACATACCGCAAAGGGTGGCGGCAAGACAAGATACCACAGCCGAAGAGATCTTGAGAAGATGAAGCAATGAGATATTGAAACCAATGTTAGCAATAATGAACAGCAAGGGAAGCAATGGGGCACCATCACATCCTGAAACCAGATAATGTTAGTGCAGCATGAAAAACTACTAAATTTGCATCTTTTCCATTATAAGAATCGCATAAATGATAAAAGAAAAACTTAATTCCAAAGCATCTGATCCAGGAGATAATTTTAAATTTATTTCTAGAAGTTCTACAACTGAAGCTGGAATTTCATAAGCTATTACTAACAATAAACACCCAAGTTTTAAGACCATGAAACTAGAAATGCCATCCTGACTATCCTATAACCTGTTTAAATAAACTCACATGTTCAACTATGCTAGAAATATTAACTAGACTAACAATATTTTCCACCAGTAAATTTCTAACTCTCTCCCTGGTTGGATTATGGTTATGGTTATGGTTATGGTTATGAAACTATACGGTATTGGTTCTCACACTTTGATTTTCTGCATAGCTTCACATGTAAAGAAATCTTGCCCCTGCCACTGGAGGGCATATAATGCCAAAAACAAAGGATTGTAAATTATATGCTTTTGACACCAAGCGAGACAACCAACATTTCCCTAGTGCAAAGACAATTCTGATGAGCGCCATCAAAGAGAAATGACAATATAAAAAGTTAAAAATAGCTTACCTTCCGTTAATGTACCAACATTCAGAAAGCAGGCTGCCCCATCTCTAAGGTAGTTTGGTAGTTGATTGAAGGGAACACCCCATAATTTTGATAAGAAGGGCAGGAGAAGGCATAAAAACAGTGTCTGCATTAATTATACGCTTATGCAGTTAGGGGTCCTATAACGTAAATGAGGGGAATTTAAAAGATGCACACCGAATTAATTTACAACATATTGTAGGATACTCACTTGGAACACTGATCCAAAAGAACTGACAACAAACAGATCCAAGGAACGTCCCTGTTAGATAACATTAAATATTATTTAGTATATGACTGCCTTCTAAACGAAAAAAGTAAATTACCATCTCTTTATAAAATAGAAAAATATGAAATAGTTAGCAAGGTTACATAATTTGCATCAGTATGAGAGAGACCATGTTTCTTAGTGCACCAGAATTGATATTGATTAATTTAAGCAGTCAAATGCCACACGTCATAGCATTTGAAAATCGTAATTTGCAAAAATATGAGGATTAAAATACTTATCTACTGCACACACCTTCAGTTTCTGGGCCGCATCCCGAAAGATAACTTCCTAGAAATAATGAAGATGCCCCTTGTTACCATAGAGAAACAAAGTTTGAAATTAAATGCTAAAACCAACGGCTATCAAGGAAGACATCAACCTTCAGGACAGTATCTGCCGCTTGGAATAGAAATGAAAGTATCATCAAAGCACTCCAGAATATACCACCTTCCTTCAATGAATTTCCAGCACCCGAGCCACTAAAATAAGTAAAACAAAGGCAAAAGATCAGCTCGTAGAAAGAATAAACATGAAAGTCACATCGTTCATGCCAGCAACCACTGGTCTATAGTTCAGATTTAACAGTCGACAAAACAGCAACATATTAGCTGTTACCGCATCATTGATGAAATCTAAAATGACAATTTCGTAAGTCTTTCGCTACACCTTAGAATGAAAGTATACCAGTCTAAGACCCTGCCTTTTCAGGCTTCATTTTGACAATGATCAAGGAATAATGTAAATTACTAGTTGAAGTCACTAAGAGGGTTTAGGAGTATAACATGCCACCAAAAAAAGAAAATTTGCTTTGTTGTTCAGCGTGAAATTCAACAGTAAAATTTTAGAGCTATCAGGAGTTTCAGAATAAAGTTTCTTCAAACTCGCATATAGAAGAAAGCAACTTTATACCTTCAAAGCAATCTGACCAAAAAATCTCTAAAATATTAAAACCATCAATAAAAATTCAAGAAAGTCATTCAAATTAGTTTGCTGACATGATTGTACATATTATTCTTATCCTTTGCAAATACAAAATTCAACAGTGCCTTATCCTTCTTTATGCAGAAAAACTGAGCCAACACAATCTGACACATTTACATTCCCTGACCTTGCCACAGAAATGATTACACCAACAGCTACAAGAAAGCATCCAAGTAGTTGGTTGACTCTATATCTTCTTCCGAGAAAAATTTTAGACAGAAGAATTTGCCATACAAGAAAGCTCTGCAAGGGAAGTTGATTAAATTAATTATACACACTTTAACTTCTACATTAAATTTAAGCATGTCATGTAAAGATGAGATACTAGATGCAAAGACCCAGACTTTGGTCAAAATGAAAGTGTAAACTTTTTTCTTTGTATGAAAACAATAAATTTTATGCGTCAAAGTTTCAACTTTCGGCCAACTGAGACAGATCCTGGATTAGATCATTATGCATCCTTTCTAGTTTCTACCACAATTTTTTCAGGTCCTTTAAAACATGGAACAACCAGATCAGTCATCAAGTAGATTACATGTCCCTGTGCATGCTTTAATTATTAGGTACCTCCCTTAGAATGAGCAATCCCTTTAATTCTTAATTCAAAAAAAAAATTCTTAATTGAATTAAAAAAAGGGAGTAGTTACATCTACTTTTCCATTTCAATTAGCTGGAGAATCGGCCGTTTCAGCTACCTATACAGCTGATCCTTCCTCTGTAAAGACAAATAATATCTTGAGCAGCTGATTCTGATTTTTCCCCTTTTCAAATAGTTATATCTTGCAAGATATCTAGTTTTTTATTTAGATGATTATCTCATAATTTTATGTAGTTTTAATTCATATGCAATATCTAGAAAATAAATAATGAGTGTCGATACAGAAACCACCTAGTTCAATCAGTTGTCAAAAACAAAGTTTCCTTCTTCTACCACAATGATTCTATTGCAGTAATAATTGGGATTAATAGTAAACCCCATAGAGGTAATAGACTACCAATGCTTCTTACCTGAGATAAAATTGGAATTGAAGCTCCAGAGAGAATTGCTGACACAACAGAGAGAAGAACACATAATTAGATGAAATTCAGACATTATTTTTCTTTTCCCCCTAAGGAAAAGCGAAGAACTGTACAGCTCAATGATATTAGTATCTAAATATCTATCAAAAAAGAAAGGCATGACTATCAATGATATATACCAATTGTTTATTCCCGCCAACAAATGCATCTTAAATTAGAGTTACAGGAAAATGCAGAAGTAATAAAGCAGATCATTGAATGAACTACAGCTTGCTACACTCAGAATTAAGTCAAGCTTAATTGATTCAGGACAGTTGAAATCAGCTCAATCAAAGCCCATAAAAACATTCAAAAAAAGAGATTGAAAGTTGTATTTTACTTTTGAAGTTTTATGATGTGCATTATCTGCTATTGCAATTCTTAAGCTGTCAGAAGATCATTATATTAACTAACTAGTCATGTTCTGACATGGGGGTTACTGTCTGAGTTTATTAACTCAAAATATAAGGATGTGCTGTAAATAGTTCTAACTTCTAAGTTGACCAACCAAGTATGATCAACCTGCGCAGACAAGATCAACTAATCAGACCCAGAAAACAAAACCTATAAGGAAAAATATCTGCATGCGGAGATGATGACAGAACTAGCATTACACACAAGATAGCCCAAAATCAAAGCAGACTTCTAAAAAGATACATAATTAAAGCAAGGGTAAATGTGCATCCAGCACTCTAATCTTATTTCTCAAGTGCATCCAACATTCCAATCTTATAGTGCATCCAATACCCTAATATTATTTTCCCATTGCATCCATCACCCCAATGTTTTCCTCAGTTACATCCACCGCCCTAATCTTCAGGGTGCTGGATACACTATCAATAAAAATTAGATATTGGATGCACCATATATATTATATAAGATCAGGGTGTCCCTTTACCCTTAAAATAAAATAAACTTCCTAAAATTTGGGGTTGGGATAAGAATATTACTTCCTGCTGCCATTCCTGCGGCAGCACCTAGAGCCTCCAAGAGACCAACAGCAATAAATGGTGCTTTTGGCGTAGACAACATTTCATCAGTAACAATGCCCGCACGGTACCGAAAATACAAAATAGAGAAGTACACAACTAGGTATCTGAAACAAAGAATATCTGATTAGATTTGGTTACATTAACTCTTGTAGACGTCTACATTTTGTCATTCTCGCCGTTCCAAAAAAAAAAAAAAATGCAAGCAGCTTATTCCCCGAAGTAAAAGGATAGCATTAAAGAAATAGAAGGCATAGCAGAAAATGCAACATAATGTGGTGGAATGATCATGGAGTATATTTTCTGAATTCATAGGCGCCCCATTACAATGACATTATTGTTTCCCATTGCGGTAAATGTTTAGTTGCTGTTTAATTTAGTGGACTAAAAGGTGAACCAGGGAAGACAAAGTAGATAGCATTGCTGGGATTAGATGAACCATAGAATGCAGATACTGCTCGGACACATCGGGAGTAGGGCCCGGCAACAAACCGTCGCTTGAACCCAGAGTCCTAGAAAATATCAATATAAAAACCGACGGTTCTAAATTGTTATCCCACAACCACGATTCAATGAATAGTGGAGAGTAAATAAATAAATAATTACGCTTTAATCCTTATTTAAATATTTTACTTACTTTTGTTATTCAAAAGTTATAACTCAATTCTAAGTGTTAGCTTCGGCTAAAAAACTATGTTTGTTAATTTAATTTATGGTTAAAATATATTTTTAATTCTTTAACTTTACATAAGGTTTTATTTTAGTCTCTTAACTTTAAAAAGTAAATTTTTAGTCCTCTAACCGATGATATTAAACTCTTGAATATTGATAAAACATTACCAAATACTATAATATTAAGTTTACTTTTTAAAACAATTATGATTATTACAAAAAATCACCATTTAAGACTAACAACGTTAGAGTTAAAGGACTAAAAATATTTTTTAAAATTGAAAGACTAAACTGAAACCTTGAATTAAAAGATAAAAAATATACTTTAGCCTTAATTTAATCTCTTGGAATAAAATAAACACATATAATTCGCCGCAAATGGTTAATGCGTATGGAATTACAAAATTTAAACAGTAATTATTGTTCATAATCAAAGAATGGTGGAGGGCAGCGGCAAGTACCCGACCGTGGCAAGCTGAGCAAGGAAGAACGGATAGTGTTTGAGGGGTACCAAAGCGAGCTTATACAGCACCCTGTTTCCGACTCCCATCACCACCGTCATCACGGCGGCGAACACCACCTGAGCAGTTCGATTCACCCTTCTCCGGTCGTTTACCACCGCTACAATCCCATCACCGTCACCCCCGCCGTCCGCCGCAACATCTCCAATCGCGTACCCGCAGGGTCTCGCCTTTTCACGCTCCCTGAAGTCATCAGATCTCTCCCACCCGCCAGCTGGCCCCGACGCCTCCACCATCCAAATTCTCGAACGCCTCCGTGAAGATCGCAACACGATTCCAGAACGCTGAACTGCATAACTAAACCGAACGTCACAACCACCAGCAAGCCTCATCGACTGCAGGAGCCGGACATGACCGCTTGACGAGGCAGCACCGCCGGCAACAGCAGCCATCCTCCCGGGAAATGACGTCATAACTCCAATTTCACCGGCTACGGTGCGCAGAGAAATGGCGGCATACACGATAGCAATTAGGGACGAGCAGCGCAAGAGATTAAGGCTCACATGGAGGAATTAACCATCAGACCACTGAGAGCTTCTGATGAAGAAGTTATGGAACACAACTGGGTGCGCCAAGGCGACTCTGACAAAGCCACTTTGTAGTTTATGCTTCCGTTCGGATGGATCTGTCACGTTATAATATTATTATAATTAAAGCATATGAACGAACATGAAGAACAACAACGCAAATTGGGACTTCGCATCTGGATTTTTGATCGCCATTTTGAGTGGAGTTATTATTATTTAATAATGATACTTGTAATAAGAGTTAATTTAACTTTCAACTTATTTTTAAATATAAAATTTTAATTCATTTTGTTTTTAATATTTTTTTAGTGTAAAGTAGTCTTTATACTAATTACACATATTAATAGTTCAATTAAATGGAAGTTTTAGCTAATAGTACCTCCGGTTCTTTATATAATACCACGTTTAACTTTTATTTTGGTCCTAAATATAATACCTTAATCTATTTTTTCTCTCATATTTATCGATTTTTTTCTAATATGGTCATTCTAATAATAGTAGTTCGAGCCAACAAATTTGATTAGCAGGAATATTCTAGGAAAAATAACTCTTATTTATTGCAAATAACTAGCTTAGCTTATTTCCTTAATCTACTCAAATTAGTTAATTAACTATTATATTTAGGACCAGAGCCTGGAGGTAATACATATTTATAAGAGTATTTTAGGAAAGACAACACCTAATTATTACAAATAACTAACTCAATAACTTTTCTTAATCTACTTAAATTAGTCAACTAGTTTTAATATTAAGGATTAATAGTTGTAATTATTGCAATATCAGCTACTTTCCCAAATATGTAGCATCTCAACTCTTTTATCTATTTTTTTGCCAAAGTAATCCTAATAATAGTTATACACGTTAAAAATTTTATCAAATTATAATTCTACTTAATGCATATGATTAACAAGAATATTTTAAAAAAGACAACACATATTTATTACAAATAAATAATTTAACTAATTTTTTTAATCTAATTAAATTATCAAACTAGCTCTTGTATTAAAAATTAATATTGTACTATATTTGTTGTTTTCTGGTTATTAAATATTACTACCTTTTATATTTAATATACGAACTAATTAATTAATTTAGATAGAGTAAAAAAATTAATTTAGTTAGTTATTTATAATAAATAGGTGTTGTCTTTTCTAAAATACTTTTGATGATAATGTGTATTGGATAGAATTATTATTTGATGAAAAATTTAATATGTGAAACTACTATAAAGACTATTTTAAAAAAATAAATAACTATAAAAATTAAATAAATCAAAATTTTATATTTAAAATCAAATTAGTTTTTATACGAAGTAACCTGCTAAGATATAAAGCCGCCTCCCACGTTACATTTATATATTGTGTTTTTGCACGGATAATAATTTTTTATATTTTAAATGTTTTTGAAAGTTTTCATAAAAACTATCATGGTCAGACCTGACTGAGCCAACAATAATTGAATTGAATCCGACTCAATGATGAAAAGATATACCTCATCATACATTTTATAATTTATAATATGGGTCGTACCCCTTTTTTTGGGTCAATAGGCCGTGCCCCTTTAGACTATAAATATTGCATAAAGTTTAAGAAAGCAATTATACATTTTATGGAGGATAATAAATTTGGCAACAACAAAAAAATAAATGTTGTAATTCAGCGTGAATTTTATATTTTATTTTCTTCTTATTTATTTCTCAAAAAAATTACTTTTCTTTTTTTTTATAAAATTATTTGCATATATATTTGTATAGGTTAAAGTATATTTTTAGTCATTTAACTTTACACAAATTTTATTTTAGTCCATTAACTTTAAAAAGTATATTTTTAATCTTTTAATCCCAAAATTATTAGTCTTAAATAATATTTTTTGTAACAATCATGGTTGTTTTGAATGTTAAACTTAATATATTAGTATTTAGTAGTATTTTATCAGTATTCAATAACTTAATATCATTATTTTTTATTCACAATTTTAGGATTAGAGGACTAAAAGTTTACTTTGTAAAGTTAAGTAACCAAAATAAAATATTATATAAAGTTAAAGGATTAAAAGTATAATTTAGCCTATTGTTATCTATAAATTCAAACACTCAACTTTATTTGAAGAAAAAAATTAGGTATCTTATACCCAACGTCTCAACCCACATAAAAACTTTTTTTTTTTTGACCGGACACATAAATTTTTTAAATTTTTGTTTTGTTTTGTTGTTATAACTCAAATACCCATCTTATAAAGATTCAAACTTGTAATCTCTTAAAGAAAGTCTTAGGAGGTGTTTGGTATAATATAAAAATACTTCTAAAAAGCACTTTTTCGTAAATTGAGATAAATTCCTTTACATATCTACTTCACATACCGTAAAATTACTTTTAAAATTATGGTTTAATTTTCATCCAAATATATTTTTTTAAAAAGAACTTTAGCACCAACTGGGCTATAAGGCCCCGACATTAGGATATTAATCTTGTACCTCTATTTACATTTTAATATCCACTTGTCAACTAACTAAACTAGACTCATTTTAAATTTTCAAAAAGTTGGAATTATAATTTTTTTTATGATGTAAATAGTAGGCAAATTTTCATATAAAACCATCTAAAATAGGAAAAATCCTAAATTACATTGACAAATTCAACAAATCTGTAATTTGTCCATAAATCCAATTTGGGATTTATAAAAGTGTATTATTATCATTGTCTTTATCCTCATCCTCCAGTTCATTATCATTTGGGGCCACTGGTTAAAAAACTTGCCACGTCAGCCAAACAGCAAAGTTTTGGCATTCGTTGGAACTTGTTTGATAATTTTATCTCTGTAATATGGTTATTTGCCATCCTTAATTTGATTGTTTAATTAATCCTATGTTTAAAGTTACTTTAAAATATTTATTCGAATAATAAATTTATGTATCGGCAAAAAAAAAACTCTACATTGGTTGAATGGCTCAAATTAATTCAAAATAAATCATTTTAGTCAAGAGAGATTTATAATTAAGTTCTAAAAGGAGAAGATGATTCCAAGTTGAAGTTGTCCTCTCTTAATTAGCACAATTATTCATTGAATAGAGGCAAAACTACACAGCCATCATTCAACTTGAAATCAAATTCAATTTTCGTCTTCTTTTTTATATGTACAACTATGTTCCTATTAGAAGCTATTCTGTTCAAGTTATTATTGAACACTAAATATAAACACATTTTTCAACAAGAATTTAAATCTTGATATGTTACGTTGTGAGAAATTAGCTCCTTCTAATTTGTATTTCCACAAAGAAATAAATAAGAGTTAATATAATTTTGGATTCCTCAAATTTACCTTAATTTTAATTTTGATCTGTTATAGGTCTTGGTCTTTCAAGTTTTTTTCTTTTAGAATATTAATTTCTATAATTTAATAAAATTTGGATCATTTTGTTTATTAAGAAACCAAAATCAAAATAAAAAATTTTAAATGACAAAAAATTATATTAATTTAATAAACGACAAGCTTGTGGCCATGTTTTATGTTTGCTAATCAGCCCATGATACTTGCTTCCCCAACACCAACAACACCCCCCCCCCCAAGAAAAAAAAAAAAGCAAAACAAACAAAAAGTTAAAAAAGGGGGATTTGCATGGGAGATGCAGCGATCTGTGGCGTCTCATATTGGAAGCTGGAATGGCATATGATTCAGGGAATCTAATCTTAGATAACCACCAGCATTATTCATTTTGTTATTTTTTAAATTTCTTTTTCTTTTCGGGAAATCACAATGAGAGATTCTGAGAAGAAAGTATAGTTTAAAAATATTATAATTACAAGTGCGCATCATAAATTGTTGTCATTATTCACGCTGAAATTTGTCATTTACTTATGATGAGATTTTTTTTAGCAGTTATATTCCTTCCCTAAAATTATATAATAAATTTTCTTTTATTTTTTGCTATTAGAAGTTAATCCTATGTATTTCATAATATGTTTTGTCTATAATTTATATAGAGTTGTTATAGGTGCCCATAATGAAAATGGAAGGAAGTATTAAATTAATATTAAATAAATTAAATCCACAAAGCAGATCATTTTGCAAATGAATTGCAATACTACTCCTTCGATCCTTAATATAGAATCTAATTATTGACTTAACATTGGTTCTAAATATAAGATCTATTTATCACATTTATCAGTTTTTTTCAAATTACTTCTATTGGTACTTTCTTAATCATAATCAAGTAGGAAAAAAGGGGAAGATATTAAAAAAGATAATTATGGTATTATATCACATTTTTTATAATTAATTAACTTACCTAACTTTTTTAATCTAATCAAATTAATTAAACAAGTCTTATATTAAGAATAGAAAGAGTTTAATCTAACAACTAACCTTTAACTAACAATAACGATAGAAAACATTAACGAGACGATAGCCAAGACAAGTAGCCCACCCTGCAAGGCCATTTTCAGTGAAGTCATTGTTAAATAATAGAATATTCTTATGTAATTAAATATCATTGTCCAAAACTTTATAAAAAAATGACATAAAAAGAAGTTAAAAATTAATAATATTTTAATTTAGGTATCTAAAGGGTTAAAATTTTATGTGAGAAAGTAGTTTCTGATCTACTATTTTGTAAATATAGTCAAATGACTAAAATATCTTTGTATCAGATTTTTTTTCAAAAAAAAAATCAAACATGTCATCTCTAGTACATTTTTTGTTATTCATTGTTCAATTCTTGTGTTACCAATTCACAACTTATTAATAAATAACTTCATTATCATTTACTGTTTAACACCTATCATTGTCAGTTCATAACTTTCTAGTAAATTTTTTATACAAGGATATTTTTTTCATTTAATTACATTTACAAAATACTAGATCAAATATTACTTTCTTCTTTGTAATTAGTGCTTAAATTGAAATATCGTAATTTTTAACTTTTTTTGGTGTCGTTTTCTCAACTTTATATGAAATAATAACAGGAAAAATAATAATAATGAATTGGCGGGTGGCTTGTTGTTGAAGGAACCTTTTTCGCCACTGTGCTTTTGTATATTTTCATTTTTTCCAGGAAAATTTATCATAGGGATTCTAAATTAAAGAAAAATAATTGCAAAATATTTTAGTTGTTAAAATTATTTTAAAACACGACAGCATCAAGTTTTT